TTTTAGTGAGTTTGGATCCCTGAAGTTACTGTGCAAATGTAATTCAATCTTAGATCTTAGTGATAATGTTAATATTGAATATATACAGTGGTGTGAAAAAGTGTTTGCCCCCTTCCTGATTTCTTATTTTTTTGCATGTTTGTCACACTGAAATGTTTCAGATCATCAAACAAATTGAAATATTAGACAAAGATAACACAAGTAAACACAAAATGCAGTTTTTAAATGAAGGTTTTTATTATTAAGGGGAAAACAAATTCCAAACCTACATGGCCCTGTGTGAAAAAGTGATTGCCCCCTAAACCTAATAACTGGTTGGGCCACCCTTAGCAGCAACAACTGCAATCAAGCGTTTGCGATAACTGGCAATGAGTCTTTTACAGCACTGTGGAGGAATTTTGGCCCACTCATCTTTGCTGAATTGTTGTAATTCAGCCACATTGGAGGGTTTTTGAGCCTTAAACGCTTTTTTAAGGTCATGCCACAACATCTCAATCGGATTCAGGTCAGGACTTTGACTAAGCCACTCCAAAGTCTTCATTTTGTTTTTCTTAAGCCATTCAGAGGTGGACTTGCTGGTGTGTTTTGGATCATTGTCCTGCTGCCGAACCCAAGTGCGCTTCAGCTTGAGGTCACGAACAGATGGCCGGACATTCTCCTTCAGGATTTTTTGGTAGACAGCAGAATTCATGGTTCCATTTACCACAGCAAGTCTTCCAGGTCCTGAAGCAGCAAAACAGCCCCAGACCATCATACTACCACCACCATATTTTACTGTTGGTATGATGTTCCTTTTCTGAAATGCTGTGTTACTTTTACACCAGGTGTAATGGGACACACACCTTCCAAAAAGTTCAACTTTTGTCTCGTCAGTCCACAGAGTATTTTCCCCAAAGTCTTGGGGATCATCAAGATGTTTTCTGGCAAAACTGAGACGAGCCTTTGTTCTTTTTGCTCAGCAGTGGTTTTCATCTTGGAACACTGCCATGGAGGCCATTTTTGCCCAGTCTCTTTCTTATGGTGGAGTCATGAACACTGACCTTAACTGAGGCAAGTGAAGCCTGCAGTTCTTTGGATGTTGTTGTGGGGTTTTTTGTGACCTCTTGGATGAGTAGTCGCTGCGCTCTTGGGGTAATTTTGGTCGGCTGGACACTCCTGGGAAGGTTCACCACTGTTCCATGTTTTCGCCATTTGTGGATAATGGCTCTCACTGTGGTTCACCGGAGTCCCAAAGCTTTAGAGATGGCTTTATAACCTTTTCCAGACTGATAAATCTCAATTACTCTGTTTCTCATTTGTTCCTGAATTTCTTTGGATCGCAGCATGATGTCTAGCTTTTGAGGATCTTTTGGTCTACTTCACTTTGTCAGGCAAGTCCTATTTAAGTGATTTCTTGATTGAGAACAGGTGTGGCAGTAATCAGGCCTGGGTGTGGCTAGAGAAATTGAACTCAGCTTTCCAAAGATGTGATAAACCACAGTTGATTTATGTTTTAACAATCACTTTTTTACTTGTGTTATCTTTGTCTAATATTTCAATTTGTTTGATGATCTGAAACATTTCGGTGTGACAAACATGCAAAAAAATAAGAAATCAGGAAGGGGTCAAACACTTTTTCACACCACTGTATAATTATATTTTAAATGTATAATTATGTTGAAGGAGAATGTAATATATAATATATGATCTATATTGCTCTCTGCCCTGGCCCCTCAATGTATATGCTCATGTTTGTTTTGTATTTCTTTAGTTCCTTTTAAACCATTATTTAATTGAAAGAGCAGTTATAAAGGCAGAAATCACAGACACACTATCAACTTTTGCTGGGGATCATTTAGAAACATCAGTAACCAAGCCAGTGTGTCTTTGTAAAGAAAGAATGTTCAGTGTTATGACTCCAAGTGTCCAGGGGTAAAGGGGTGTAACATTTAGGATAATATTTGGATACAGGTGGGTTCTGGTGATGGACTAGGAAGTGTGGTAACAAGGGTCAGTGCAAGAAGAGATGATTTTAAGTTGAATAAGTGACTGGTATGAAATAAGACATAATAACACACAGGGTAAGGGAACTAGAGCGGTGCCTACTGTATAAACTGGTTTACAAATGCAAATTAATACAAAAAACAATAATGATCAATTAAGGTCATATTTGGAATTACTAATTGAAATACTTGTCCGACCACAGGCTCTCAATCCCAATTTACTATGGCAACCAGCTGTGCTTACTGAGCAGAAGTACCACTTCTCCTAAACTGGCGATTCACTCAGCCTGTCACACTCTTGTGGAACTCACACTCCACCTTGCTGGAGACTGACAGGATATTAATTGATTCCAAGCTGTCTGTCCACATCAGAATTATTTTGCCCTTCCTCTTCCCTCTGCATGCTTTGGATGAAAGACCCATTTGCTGTGGCCTCATAGAGAAACAAATGTGTCCTCTGAACCTCACAATCAGGACTGCCCACAGAGAAACCATTGAGCTCCTCTGCATTTGGTTGCTATAATGTCCCATGGTCTTGAGGTTACCCTGATTGTAGTTACACAGTGTGGGTCTTGACTGGTCTGGCCATAAACTCCTAGCTTTGGGTCAAGAATGTCTCACAACTTCTGGCCACCTCTGATGTCAACACATTGATTGTAGAATACTGAGACTTTACTGTTTACTGTTTAGCAAGGAAAAACATAACTTCCAGTTGTGGTCCTTTGGTGTGCTGTCTGCTAACGTCTGGGAATCTAAGTGAACCTTTTCTCAGTTTTTCATCTGGGAACCAACAGCCAGATGGAGGAGCTACACCAAAGTCTGGAAACCTTTGGTTTTGCAAACATCCTGAAACATCCGAAACATCCTGTCGATTACCTCTTCTGGTCCCTGTACGGATCCTGCAAATGTTCTGTCAGCCAATTAAACATCATGGGACCTAGAAGGAGTTTTGCATAATGTTTGGGCAAAGGGTCTGTGTGTCAACCAAACACCTAGGACTGTGGGTGCCTTCTAGAAAGCTGGTTCCTTGCCTCATCAGCCCATACCAGGTCACGGTTTGAACAGGTGAATGCCTTGGACATCCTGATGGCCTTTCACTTGTCCCTGCTGAAACCCACCCTGCTTAGTACCTTGGTTCTAGATTCTCCTATGCACCTGTCCCCTCCTGTGGAGGGATCTGACAAGTGCTCTCCACAGCACACCCTGAACTCCTGGATGGTCCTGGATAGCTTACAATACCTGGTGTACTGGAGGGGTCACAGGCCAGAAGAGCGAGGAGGGGTACTTTCCAGCAAACTGAATGCTCTGCACCAGATCTGTGCTTTCCATGTAAGGTACTCATTGAATCCCAGTCAGGTGCCAAGATGTAAAAAGGGTTCTTCATTTGTCTGGGTTTTTAAGTCCTCCATGTCTTCTGCACCAACACTTAGTTATTTTGTTTGCATCCTAGAAGTTAGATGGCTTTCTTGCTGTACTTAGTTTTTCTTTACTTCCTTTTGTTTCTTGTTTCGGACCCTTGCTCACTACAACTTTCATTCTTCTGGATTCCCCAATTAATTGTTCTTTCTTGTTTTCACCTGGTTTTGGACTTGGTTTGTACTTCAACTTTGAGTATTGGATTTCCCTGCTGACTAAGCATTCCTGCTCCACTGCTCGCAGTGCAGTGGTTCCAGGTTTATCCTTGCCTGTCAGCTAGCAGTCTGCTCAGTCTTACGTTTGGATTCACCATGCGGCTTAACAACTGCTTCCCTTTGCAAGTCACTGTACATTATAACAACTATATTTTGACTGTGTACTTCTTGAATCAATAGTTATCTGCCTGTATAGGTGCTCAAAGATTTGTCTGAAGCTTATTTTTACTTGACATGTTCACAAATGAAGTGTTCAAGTGATTGATGATCATGATAAATGTTCTGGATAAAGCTTTTTTCTAGTTTTTATGTTTTATTTGAACCTGTTGTTTAACTTGCTTATGGCTCTTGTGTTAATGGTATCAATTTTCATAGATTTGTCACCCTGCGTAATTATTTGTATTAGCAGAAAAGAGCCAGTCTTTTCGATTTACAAATGGATCATTGGTAAGAGCATTTATTGTTTATTGAAATGGAAATTCAGTAATCTTCCTGAACACCCTCGGATTTGTCAGGGTCATTGTACTGCATAATATATACCAGTGAAGACAGAACCCATTTATTTCCATTAAGTATGATTCCTATGGTCATTTCCATAAAAGCTCATCTTGTATTTGCAGTGCATATCTTACTGACTTTTGAACCATTAAATTATATGTTACGTTTATAGTTCTTGATATCTTCAGAAAACATGATTTATGATGCACTTGAAAATTAGGTTTATAGAAACTAAATTGGAAGCAATCTCACCAGATTCTGGGGATTTTCACTAACTCACCAGGGCTGTAGTGAACTGCTTATTATATAATACAAGTTAAGCATCTTCTGTTTAATTAACATTAATCTAAGTTTTGTAAAATAAAATAATCCATAAATAATGCATTATATAGCACTGAATTATTTTCAATACCTTTTTAAACATTTATAAAATCAAGAATATTTTTTTCTAAATATTCTACAATTCAAAGATAATTAGAAAAATGATTTTGCACAGATAATAAAACATCTAAATTTTAATGTGTAGTTATGGGCACTTTCAGTAGAACTTTTTAAATTACATTTTTAATGACACATTAATGTACAGTATGTGTGACTGGGGATGTATTTATATATTTTGTGAGAAAATGGTAGACTATGAATGAAAGTGAAGCAATAATAGGAAACAATATTAAAGTCGACATAATTGAGGTTTACACACGTCCTGTTTTCTCACCAATAACTGAAATGAATAGTTTTTTTGTTGCATTTATGCACTACCTTAGGTTAGTTCCTGGAATGGTAGAAAAATATGCTAAACAATAGCTATACTACAAAGCTATTTAAAACGATGGCTACTGGCTACTATAAGTGTGAACTAATACTTAGATTTTCCCATTTTATTTTTCAGATCAGGATTCCAGTACTGACATCCTGTGCCACATGATGCCGTTTTACAGCTATGATGTCCCTCACACGTGTGGACCAGACCCCAAGATATGCTGTCAGTTTGACTTCAAGAGGCTTCCGGGCGGCAGAATCAGCTGTCCCTGGAGGGTCCCACCTGAGGCCATCAATGACGGAAATGTTCAATATAGGTACCAAAGCACATCTTAGATGAAAGACATCTTACACAGACAGGGGGAAATACTGTCAGTTACATGTAGTGATGTATGCTCTTCTGTCCTGAATAATTGTATTCTTCTCACCAAGTTCAGGTAGTAGACACCGTACACCATGCTTTGTTCCAAAAACAATAAAATAAGGCAGATTTTTTTTTTTGTAAGCTGTTTGTTTCTATATTTTTTTTTACTTTCTGCAACTCTTACATCCCCGAGAATGGTGCAGCATGTGAAATAAATAGCTCTTAAGAATGGTCCATGGCTTTTGTTATTTTCCTGGAAGCAGTGCTGATAGCCCTGAAAGTGCTATGTACTGTACTGTATATTTGACCTAGCCTGAATTAAGTGTGGGCTAGTGAGCAAAGTGACATTAGCCCGCGGTTAGTTCATAGGATACTGAAAGTGATGTTAAACTAATGGTTTTGCTAGCTGGAGTGTGTATTGGGGAAACTCAGAGTTTCTTTAATTTTTGTCTGAGGTTCTGACCTTTTGGTAGTGTTGGGAGACCAAGTCTGATGAAGTGTAAATAATTCAGTAATGGACTTTAATACACTAGTTTGATTTATCTAAGTAGTCAATAAGTGCTGGGTAAATGCAGTTAACAGATTCGCTGAAGTGCAGACCAACAATTTAATGCTATTAAGAGAGACAACATACCACTGAGGAGAATGTCAAGAACCTGTACATCAGTAGCTATAGATACCTTTCTGCGCAGTACCAATAAAGTGTTATGTAGCTCTAGCAAGTTAAATGTCCTGTCTCAAATTGTTTGTGTGGTCTACTTTGTGCTTTGTGTTTTGTAGTTTTGTAGCACACTATTTTTAAATGTCAAAGCTCTTTATGTCAATGTACAAGGGCATTCTATACATTGAAAATTTACGAATACGAATATCTGCAGTTAAAATATGGAACACTTACCTATAATACATTTCTGAAACATTGCCATTATCTAACCTTTCAGTTAAAGGAAGAATTGTCTTTCATTATTTTTTATCAAAGATATGCAGTTATGAATAGAAAGCCTTTGGCATTTTTCATATACATAGTATGTAAATTATGTAGCTTATTTTTGTATTGCTGGGAACACCACAAGGCTACAAAGCGGCAGCTATTCACTTGATTTTTTGTGTCATGCCATTTAGACCATGTGTAATAAACGTGCTAAATATTAAAGTCCATTCCATAGCTCAGCTATTTTTCTGTGTATAGAAATCATCATGTTGATAATTTAAAGTTAGTATTTGGCTTTCTGTGAAAAGGTCTTTGTTATGATTAGTTTTGAAATATGTTTGGAAATATGTAATGATTTTTTTTTCACCATGTGTCAACATTTGATGGTATGACTGCAAATGCAAAATTACAGGACACATGAGCCATGTATGAAATGTTCATAGTTATGGGAGAGGAAAAAAGGTGGAAATGATTTTGTTATATTATAAACAAAGCTCATAAGGACTTTTCCTTTTCTTTTTTTATCCTAGAAAACTCACCGCAACTTGTAATTGTATTACTGTGTTTCTGTCAGGGCTCAGATGCTGTTGGATCAGTACAGAAAGAAATCCAAACTCTACCGGACCAAGGTAGTGCTTGCACCCCTGGGGGATGATTTCCGATACACAGAAGCTTTAGAGTGGGATCAGCAATTTCAGAATTACCAGAAACTTTTTGATTACATGAACTCTCATCCAGATATGCATGTCAAGGTAACTTTCTTTAAAATCTGTATGAATACTTGATAATGATTTTATCATGATATTAAGATTGTCAAACTATTTTATTTAGATTGTATGTCCAATAAATGTTTAGAATAATTTAAATATGGTGAATAATGTTTTCAGTTATCAAATAACCAGTTAATTTTATAAAGTTATCTTGATTTCTGTTTCATATAAAGGAAGAAATGTTAATTTTATAACCCCTATGCAGTACCTTTATCATTACTGTGTACTTTCATTTTTTAGTTTTCCCTTGAAAATACCTTTTTAATTTCTCTATTTTCTTTTCTCAAAAGTTTCTGTTCTAAATATAACGCAGGTTCTTTGAAACTGCTCTTTTTGCTGTTTGGATGGATACAATAACTTTTTATTAATTTTATGAATATCATCATGGAAGCAATAAAAAAGTTATCACTTTTACATTATATATATTTATCCATTTCACAGTCCCTTATGTTTACAGAAATTGCAGGATCATTACAATTTGATGAAGTATGGTTTTTGTCTTTTTGTAGGCCCAGTTTGGTACAATTTCAGATTACTTTGAAGCCCTTCGAAAAGCTGCTGATATTGACCGGGTGAACAGTGCTCCTTCATTGTTTCCAGTCTTAAGTGGGGACTTCTTCACCTATGCAGATCGGGATGATCATTATTGGAGTGGATACTTCACTTCACGCCCTTTCTACAAAAGGATGGACAGAGCTTTAGAGTCACATCTGAGGTAGGTTTTCCTAAAATCACTTACAAAAACCTGCCATAATGATATTGTCTGATCCTGTGTTAAACATAAAGTAGAAAAGCATTGAGAGTATGTCTTACATATTTGAATATTGCACCTCCAGCCATCCATATAAGGTGAGACAAAAAATATGTTTGATTGAAAGATATTCAATGTCTCTTGGATACCCCCACTCTTCCTTGTTTGTTTGCAAATTCTGTGTCTAGTGTTAAGAATTAATTCTAAGTGAACTGTTCAGTTTTCACTGACAAACGTAATAAGACATTGAATTGCAGTAGTATGCTATTAAGTGAACTGACACTTAAGAAATTCACCAGACACCGAAGCGTATTACTACTGGTGACACTGCTAGCACATGGGCAGACATTAATTATGGGATTTAATTGACTGTAGTTAAAGAGTGTAAGAATGGGAAGCAATAAACATAAACAAGCATTTAAAAAATCTTTATCTCGGGGGATAGAAATTTTAGAACAGACTTCTCAATAAGTGTTATACTCTCAGAAGTTTGATTTTAGTCCAAAAATAATTCATATTAAAAATAGAATTCCATAAATATACTGCAGGAATTAGAGGTAAAAAGAGTTGTGTAAACTCATGAATCAATAAATAAATGAATCTGAGGTAATTTTTAATTAGAGACTGAGGAGCAAGCACTATCCAATTCTTTCAAATACTGAGTTTCATTAATTATTTTTCTGTTAATGTCAATCAATATATTTAGGTGTTTTTTTTCTGTAAAAAGAAATAGAATCATATATGAAAATTGATATTTACAAAGATTAGAATCTTACTCTTTTTATGCATACTGTTAAAATAATTATAAATGTTCTTGAGTAGTTTCTTTCATGTGGTTTCTGAGCAATGGATACAAAATCCCAAGTCACAGAGATCTTTTGTGAATTGAAGGCTGTCTAAGTCAGCCAGACAAATGTTAGACTATGGGCATCATCCCAAAATAAAATGGCAGGAAAGCAGAACTTACATAAACATTACTTTGTGTAAAAATTTTTGAATAATGTGAATCTGGTGGTGACACTAGGCCTAGGAAATTATTATTAAAGAGTATAAATATATAGCGGTTTCATAAATTCTAAGTAATGAATTGGTCATTTTAAACATTTTGAGAGAACATGAGGTTTTGGTACAGTCATGCCTCGTGGGAAGTTTATAATGCTAATTAAGACGGGACAAAGGTTACAAACAAGAGGAGAACATTCAGCCCATGTAGCTGCTTGTTTGGTTGCCAGTAGCTAAGTGATCCAAAGATCACATTCGGCCATTGTATTGTGTATTGCCTTCAGAAACATGGCTGCATAGCTTGTTCCAGACTCAATCAATGTACTTCAACGGGCAGGAAAACATAACGTGGTGAACTCCTGTACTCTGTACACATTAAACATAATTTTCAACGTGTATACCAGTCTTCGGTGGAGCTGTGCATTAAAGGCTAAATTAGTAAAGCACACAAATTCAACCTAAGTTCTTTCTAAATTGTTTTGGAATTTCTACACTGTTTGCTAATCCTCCTGTTTTGTTATGATCTGCAAATATCTCTAAGTTTACTAAGTACTAGATAACTAATTCTTTGAAATGTGTTTGAAGTGGGTATTGTATGAACCCCTCTTGGACCCTTTCACATTTTGTGTTACAGTATGGAATCTTCAACTGGGATTTTGGCCATTGATTGAAAATACTTCAATCCATTATTTTCTGTTTTATATTTCTAATTAATTTTGGAGACTCTGTAAAAAATTGTTTTCACATTGTCATTATAGAGTGTTGTGTTTTGAGCAATAGCAAAAAAGGGGGTTGAGTGTTAGGTTTGGTGTTGAAATTTGAGTGTAATATAAAAATACTGGGTTAATATCAACTGTCTTAGCCAAATTTAGAAAATGTTGCTTGTCAACAAAATAGATTTTTATTGGTTTCTTTGGTGGGTGGTCCAACTCAGTTCGCTGTGTCATCTTATAATTTGTAGACAGTTAATTTTATATTTAAATATATATTTAAAATGTCACCAGTTTAATCCATATTTAAAGAATGGATATGCATTTATCCATACCAAGAATCAAATCAAATTCCTATCTGAATCACAGCACATGAGCCCCGTCAAATATTTAGTTACATTTGTGGTTGAAAGAGTAAAGATTCTTTAAGAATATAACAAAATATTGATATCCAGCTTGATAAACTCAAACTAGGATTCCTGATATTTTTTTCCAGGCCTTATTTTGTGCAAATTATGAAAATCAGGAAAAGAACAGGTATAGTCTTAAATGTCTAAGTTGTGGGTTGGATGAATACTTACACAGTTACATTGTAAAATGTGACAATTTACCCCAAAAAAGAGTGAAGATTATGTAATTTAGGGCTATGATTTGCTGTACTATTTGAAAATACTGATGTTAGTTATGTTTGGAATACAAGATTACTCAAATCAGACATTAAGGTTATTTTACTGCCTGCTGCTTTGTCTTGCAGGTTCAATCTCCAGCTACACTTGAATTCACACAGTAAATTATGATCTTCTCACATCTTTCTCTCCAGCAGATTTTTATTTCAATATATTTGAAGTGTTCTTTGGTAAGATGACTCCCAAAGTTCAAATTATTGCTTGTGTTTACATTTCTGGCAGTTAGATTATGTTTGGGCGTGTGTTAAATTTCACACTGTATGTATTTTAAAAAAGTAAATAAGAACTGCCCTTTAACCTGTTGGAATCTGAAACATTGATTATTTTTCTGGAGACATCACCATCTTATCCGTCCAGTCTTGGTTTTCTTCACACTATTGTTCCTATGTTGATAAAGGTAACTGTAACTCCTTCTATAATGCCAAGAAATCCAGTAAGAGATTTTAGGTGTTTTTATTTTCACAAATAATCTTATCCCAGAGTTTTACCCACCCTTTAAATACAGGTAGAATTTGGTAGCATCACATCTCTAATCAGATAAGTTGTATTCTCATATCTAAGTCTTATGAAAATAGTTCCAGGGTAGCAGTCTTCGAAGTATTCACATCCAACAAACCTAACCTGTGAAACCGTTCTCTTTTGTTGGAACAATCTTATAACCATTGGCATGGCATTGCATGCAGTGTGCCAAGTTGTTATAGCTTTCAGGCCTTCTTGGTTAATTATAAAATTATTAGAGCTGAGTAAGTCAATTACATTTTATTGAGAAGATCTTGGAGCAGAACTAATTTGACCATTTCCAATTACTATGCTAATTTTTCACACGCCAAAAGAGGGGACTGCAGGTGTGCTTACACAAATCACTTCTTTTGAGGGTTTCACTTGATAGCACAGAGTGTTTTGCTTACTTTGCAAAGGGTCATCAGTAATGTTTACACAAAAACAATTTAAAGTAAATGAACTATGTGTTGGCTTATCCCTGATTTCATTATGCTTTTTGTCTTTGGCTGAAGCAAGCATGATGTGGCTTAAATATCTTTTCTTTTGATTAAGTGCAACTAATTTGAAAACACCTTACAATTACAGCTTTGTGGTGGATGAACTTATATGTTTTTTGTATATAACTGCTATATGCTTTGTGTTATTCATGCAGAAAGAAAAAAATCTTGTTTATCACAGCACTGTCATCCCATCCACTTCCGTTTTCTCTCTCTCTCTCACATATTTACTTGTGTGTCATGTCCATTTATTCTGTCTTATTTACCAACATTCTGTAAGAAAGATAAAATAGTATGGTCTGAAAAAAGGAAGAACAGGGGACAGCTAGATAAAAGAGACAAGTGATAAATATGCATCAGATAGATATAGGTTAGCCTACAATTTTTGCTACAGCACTGTCTCTCTTTAATGTTGACAGATTGCTGAGAAAACAAGGAACTGAGGCAGTGTTGCAAGCCATAAATCTTGTGGTAGTGGCACTGTTGATTGAGATGACAAATTAAATACAGAAAAGCTTCAGTTTTGCTTTGGTTAAATGGACTTTTAAATGTTTATGTGTGAACTCTTTGTGGTGTGTGGAGAAACTTCCTCATTAGAAGTCAACACAAATCATTAATACTGTGCCCACAGCAATGACACGCAATCTTGTCTCTCTTTTAGTGTGTAGGAACAATGTAGGCTGACAACAAAGCTGGCGCATATCTTTGTAGATGCGCTTAATTTTTCCTGTCACACTGTACAAAGGCTCTGAAATAAGTAGCTGTGTAATAGGACTATTTCAGAATTCTTCTTACTCTACTTCTGGCATATTGAATAATGTACTTCTGTATCTGGACAGAAGTACATATAGCATAATATAGCATAATATTTGGACATTTTTAATGGAAATCCACATTTACTGTGAACTAAGCTGAGCAGGGTAGGCATCCTCTCACGAGGCACCAGTAAATGTAGGGGTTTTGTGCTTTTACTGGGACAATTATTAATTGTAGCCGTAGGTCACAAAATTATTCTTTGTTCGCTATTAGAATCAACCTTAAGGGATAACTCAAACAATGCACACACACGGTTACTTATACACGAGAATACATTTATTACCAAGTAAAATGTGCATATAAACATAACAGGTCTTATCGTGAGGGTTAGCAGAGTACAAAAGGTATATATTCAATCACAAAGAGTTACAGGTACCTAGAGGGACATACATTCAGTATATCATTCATTTAGACCGTTTCGTAAATGAACTTGGTTACAACTTCTACACTAGATACTCAAAAGCAAGTACATCACTCATAGCAATTAAATTGATATCAACTGGTGTTGAGGTAACAATTGAATTCTCTAGCTGTACTGCAGAATGTTGAATACTCATCCGATCTGTGTGGATTCAGATCTCCCGTGGGCACAATGAAGCAGTGGCAGGCTTGTTGCTGTGTCCAATCGGCGCTCTCTGGCTCGGTGCCAGGCAGTGCTGTTGCAGCTTGCGACGTGGTGGGAGAGGTTCCTGCTGCGATGCTCTCTGAAGACCGGCTAGTTAGTTCTGGCTAACTAGCAGAGTTTCTGCACA